GGCCATGGAGGAACGCTGCTTACTGGTTTGCTCCTCTGGCCCCTGCTCAGCTTGCTCTCTTATCCAACACAGGCCCACCTGCCCAGGGATGGCACCACCCACAGTGGGCTGGGCCCTCCCATATCACTCATCAAGAAGATGCCCCTCATGGCCACAGGCCAGTCCAATAGAGGCAATTCCCCAACTGAAACTCCCTCAACCCAGGTGTGTCAAGTTGACACTAAAGCTATCCAGTACAATTGACCCCTTGTCAACTTGACACACAAATACGTCACTATTAAACCATAAGCGTTCCAGTTCTTGTCCCCAAGATATGTTAACATTAATATCACAACATAAGACAGTACAATCTTAAAAACTCCACAGTCCTTAAAAAATCCAAACACTTAAAGGTTCATAGTCTCTTTTAAAAGTCTCTTAACTGTGGGTTTCTGTAAAATCCAAAACAAGTACTGTCTTATTTCAAAGGGAAGAATCGGGCACACCTAAGCAAAACCAAAGTCCAGCAAAGTAGCTCAAGGCTGGACATCTGGGATTCACTCATGATCTTCTGGCCTCCAAAGGGTTCTGGCAGCTCCACTGCTCTGACTCTGCAGTCCACAGTACAAACAGCTCATCTCGCAGACCCAGGCCAGCTCCATTCTATACCTGCCGCTGTCCTTGGTGTTTGTCCCATGGTCCCAGCATCTCCAAAAAGCTGGGGTCTCCACTGAAACTGAGGCTACACCTTCACCAATGGCCTCTTCTTGCCTCTGGGGTACAAAGCCTCAGATTCTCTCCATGACCCCTTCAATCCTGGGGTCTTCACTACAACTGAAGCTGAACTTTCACCTATGGCCTTTCCTGGCCTCTCAGAGTGCCAAGCTTCAGCTGCTCTCTGTGACACCTTCACGCCTTCAACACTAGAACCATGCAGGAGACTCTTACACATTACCAAGTCCTGCTTCCAGCTTGAGATAGAGGTACGGGTCCCCTCTGTGTGCTGACCCTGAGGAAATACCTCTCAGAAGACTTTACCACAGAGATGCTGGTATCTTGTTACTTACAACTAACTTTTCAGCCCCAGCTAACCAGCATCAATTGTCCCAGTAAAGCAAAGGTTTTACTTCAGGTTCTGGTATCTTCTTAATCACAGCTGATTCTTCAGCTCCAGCCAGCCAGAACCCACAGATTCTCAATACAAAATATCAGACGAACAGCCCTGATAGTCTCCACCTCCCTTTGAAGCATCTAAAGCCAGGCCTTCATCATCCATAACTCTTTCAACATAACTGTTCCAAGCTCCACAGCAACAAACTCTGAGCACACAATGGCTTTTCCAGCTCAAAGTTTCAAACACTTCCACAATCCTCCAACGACAGGCCTGTCACAAAAGTGCCCTACTCTCTGGTACCTATTTCTGTTCTGGTTTGTTTCTCTGTTGCTGTGACAAAACACTCTGAACAATTCCAACTTGGAGAGGGAAGTATTTATTTAGCTTACACCTCTTGGGCCACAGTTCATCAGGGAGCCCAAGGTGGGAACTCAGGGCAAGAATTGGAGCTGTCTTGCTCCTCTGATCAGCCTGCTTTCTTATGCAACACAGGCCCACCTGCCCAGGGGTGGCACCACCCACAGTGGGCTGGGCCCTCCCATATTACTCATCAAGAAGATGGCCCTCAGACACGGCCACAGGCCAGTCCAATAGAGGAAATTCCCCAACTGAGGCTCCTCAACCCAGGTGTGTCAAGTAGACACTAAAGCTATCCAGCACAGATGTCACCATCCTAATTATGGGAATCTGTGATTATATTAGGTTACATGGAAAAGGGGAAATTAAGGCTATAGGTGGAATTAAGGCAGCTAACCAACTGACCTTAACCTAACCAATTCACCCAGTGAATTCAATATAATCACAAGGCTCCTTCAAAGTGGCAGAAGAATGCAAGAGTCAGAGAACCAGAGAAACAAAAAAGCATGAAGAGCACATGGCTCAAGCTTGCTGGAAGAGGGGGTCAGCCATGAGCCAAAGAATATAGGCAGCCTCTGAAAGCCCAGGAAGGGAATTCTGCCCTAGAGTCCCCCAGATGAGCACAACTCTGCTCAGACCTTGCCTTCAACCTAGAAAGAACATTTTGGACATCTCTCCCCAAGAATTATGAGATAATAAATGTGTGCTGATTGATCCACTACATTTGCATGAACTTGTTACAGCAACGATAGACCAATACACCTTATGAGTCATGAATACAAATGGCTGGAGGCTGAGTGCAGGGAGCAGGCTGAGGCAGCATGGTGGAAGAGGCTCACCCTTGCTGAATTATTAAGTAACTCATTCAACAAATACTTATTGAGTGCTTTCCTAGGTACCAGACACTACCTAGCTACTAAAGACATACAGTAAATAAAGGGATATAAGACCTGCTCCCAGGAAACTTTATTCCAGCAGAGTAAACAGATAAGTAGAAAACAAATAAATAGAAACAGATAGGGGCCAGCAGATGGCTTAGCGGGTAAATGTGCTTATCTGAGTTTGATCCCCAGGATCCACATGGTAGAAGGAGAGAACTGACTCCCCAAAGTTATCCTCCAATCTCCACATGCACACTGTGGCATGCACACTCTTGCATACATACATACACACACACACACACACACACACACAGAGTAATAATTATAATGATTCTAAAAGAGGAAGTAAAATGCATGATGTACTGGATAGGGCTAAACGTTAAAGAGAAAAATGACAGAGTCAAATTCTTGGGCCCCAGAACTGTTGCCTCCATTTGGGCAGAGGCTTAGCCTCACTCCTTTGGGAGTGAGAACTTCTTCAAGTTGCTGTTCTTGCAACCAAGTGATCCATACCCTGTGTGCTGAAAGCACACTAGGCAGGTCCCCATACATTCTTGGTACAGCCCCAGAGCACAGGCTCCTTTCCTAATGAGAGCAGTCCATTTATGGAGTCACCAGCATTCATGGTAATGTTGACACAGCCAACAACAGCAAGCCCCCCACTCATGAAATTCAACTTCCTGCCCATTCCCTTTTATGTATATGAGTGTTTTGCCTGCATAATTATGTAAGTGTTCCTATGTCCTGTGAGGGTCTCAGATCCCCTGGAATTAGAGTTACTGATGACTGCTAACTGCCATATGGGTGCTGGAAACCCAACCTGGGTCCTCTACAAGAGCAGCCAGTGCTCACAACCACTAAGCCAACTCTCCAGCCCCTCCTTATGCCTTTTGTTGTTGTCCCTAGGCTGAGCCTGCCAAGAAACACCATGCCGTGATTTCCCATTCAACTATACCAGAGCATTGGAACATTGGTGGTTCAGTGGTAGAATTCTCAACTACACCAGAGCCTCCCAGCCTGTACCCTACATTATCTCTCCCACCACATTTAGACATCAGGGTCCTTGATATTGTCAGCTGCAGAGAAAGGAAAAGGGAGAAGGAGACTAAGAGAGAGGGAGACGAAGACGGAGAGGGAGAGGGAGTGTATAAAGAGACCATCAAAGAACGCAGTTCACTCCACCTTGCTCGCCCACTTGGTCCCTCACCCACTGGGCTGCCGCCTTGATGCTCTCTGTCTTAGTGACATCCAAGAGGATGGTCTGCAGCTGGTAGGAGGTGTCCTGCTGAAGTTTCTGGGCCCCTTCCTCGGTGAAGCAAGCCGCGAGCACTCGCATGCCCCGATCAACCAACTGTCTGGCCAACAGGTTCCCAAAGCCGGAATCACAGCCCGTGATGAACACATACTTCTCTGAGAGGTTGCGAACCAGATTGCAGTTCTTGAACCAGCGATACATAAAAGAAAGGTCAGTGAGGGCCGCCATTGGAGCTGATGGCCAAGGATGGGGTTCAGGAGACAGCAGGGTAGGCTGGTCCCCAGAGCCCAGTAGGCAGCTTGCTGAAACCCACAGAGGAGAGCTTCTAGTACTTGCAACAGAAGCAGGGCCCTTGGGTGAGCCACTCTGTAATTTTATAGGTGGATGAATTACCATACCAATTAGCCCAACGCAAGAAATTCAAGTCTAACCTGAAGCCTTCTTTATTGCCTCTGACAAGGTGACTGCCCTGGTTACTGTTTCCTTCTCACCCCCTGCCCCTGATGGATGAAGGAGCCCAAAATGGGAAAACTCACTGCAGTGTGGATCCAAGTGGTGGCTCACCTTGGGGGCATGAGAGATCAAAAGAAGGCTCAGCTTTGATCTGAGCTCTCTTAAGAAAACCCCACCCCAATCTTACCTCTTGCCTAGGGATCAAAAACATTTGTCATGAGTCCAGGCATGTCAATAAAATTAATTTCTATTATCTAAAACAAAATTGGATTGTGCCCTCCAAATTCCAGGAGAAATGAACTCCAGATCACCAACTATTTGAGATCTTTTATTTATTATATTGTAATTTTTGAAGCAGAATCTCACTATGTAGCCCCTAGCTGGCCTGGCCTGAACTTACTACGTAAACCAGTTTGGCCTTAAACTTGTGGCAATCCTTCTGCCTCTACCAGATGCTGGGATTTTAGGCAAGTATCACCATGCCTTACATCTTTGGCGGTTTTAAGTGAGTGTCTATCATAACAGATGATGAAAACACAGGGTTTCTTCAGGTTGGGTGTGACTCTACTGTACTGACTCCAGAGGCAGCAGGCCCTCCTATAGGAGAGATGGGAGATACAAGGCTTAACTTCTAGAAAGCAGATAGACTGAGAGACAGCCAGGTGTGGTGCCACACATTTGTAATCCCAGCTCTTGGGAGGTGGAAGCAGGAGGATTGGGAGTTCAAAGTCATCCAGCTAGAGGTCAGTCTGGGGTGCAGGAGGCCCTATCTCAAGCAAAAAAAAAGAAAAAAACAAAAGCAAAACACAAAAAACCACCAGAAGCAGCCAGGACCTTGGTAATTGTTGTGGATGGTAGTCAAGTTACCAGCAAGGTATACTACAAGTCAGTCCCATATTTTATCCACCCATGCCATTGTAGGAAGCCATTTACTAAGGGCACATCAGCAGCCCCAGGAAGAGGTTCTGGGGGAAGGCATCTTGCTTCTATCTTAAGGACCAGGCACATTCTAGGTGATTTGATGAGCTGAGGAGACTAAAGGGAGGCCAAGTCCTTCCCTGCAAGGGACTATGAAGTCATTTGACACAATGACTGATTGGATGTGCAGAAGGAAAGGAGGCCAGAAGTCAAAGTTATTTGAAGGTATGGGGCCAAGGGCAGGTAGAATGCAGATAGCAAGAGAAGTCAGGAAGCAACGGCAGCAGGAGGGAGAATAAGGAGTGGACGGCAATGATATGAGGCTCACTGAGACTGAGGTGAGGTTGGATGAGCTCACAGCAGCTGAGGGAAGGGCTCGGGCAAAGTCTTGGCTCTGAGAAGAATGATTCATACGGGGAGCAGAGGCTGCTCCACGTGAGGACCAAGACTTGGAAACATGTCAGGGTCAGGACTTAGAAAGAGATCCCAGGTAATGGGGCAGAGAACTCACAAAAAGTTAGGGAGGAAGCTGCTAAAACACAGGAAATAAGGAAATTGGTCAGGTGTGAGTAGTGAGGGACCACACCCAGGACTGTATAAACTGCAGGGACAGAGTGATGCTGAGGCTAGGGCGGTTCCTTGGCTCACCCTCCAGGGTCACCAACTCCTCAGCATGAGCCCAGTCATCAACTTGCATCTTCCCTGTTTAGAGAGTGTAATACAGAAGCAGGGCCCAAAAGTGAGAGAGAGAGAGAGAGAGAGAGAGAGAGAGAGAGAGAGAGAGAGCTCCATGTTACACTATTTACCAACTCTGGCCAGCCACAGAATTGGGTGAAACTGGTGTCACCTCAGCAAGGCCATTCTGTGTGTGTGTGGGTGGGGAGGTCAGGTCACAAGCCCATCTCTGAAGATCTAAAGCCCATGTGTGATGGAGGTGAGGTGTGGGGTCTCTCCCTTTCTTCGTGGGTGGTTGGCCACTGGTCCACAAGGACAAAGGGAGCAGAAGCGACGAGCGGGGTCAGGACGGCCAGTGAGCACCGATGGAAGAAAGCCCTTCCGGGGAGGCATGTTCAATGATGCAAACAGCTCCAGACTCAGTGAAACAGCTCCGTTTATTCAGTGGGAGAACTAGGGAAAATATAGTGTGGAAGCAGTAGCCAATGCCTCAGCTGATAGGTGCTCATAGTATGCTTTATTTACATGTGGCAGTGGGCTCCTATCACATAAGAAACACCTTGGGGTAGTTTTACTCCAGGTAACTATGCCAAAGGTCATGTTCCAAATAAGGTCAGGCATCTGGGCTTGGTGGCACTTTCCTGGTAAGTCAGGCAGAGAGCAGGAGGCCCCCTGCTGAGAAGGGGAGTCCTTCCATATAGCACCAAGCCCCTTAGAGCTATCTGGACATGGAGTACTACAACCCTAGCAGCAGGGTTCCCCAACAGTGAGGCGCGGCAGAAGCAAACCTACATGCTTCATACCTTCCGTAAGGAATGGTAGGTACATCCTGTACTGGATTGGCAAGCATCCCTCAGTCTCTGTTGGCCTCCTGGGTGAGTGTTCAAGGAAGTTATACCTGGGAGAAGTCAGTCCCTCAAGGACTGAGCAGGTCAAGGGGCAGCAGGCATCTCAGTTCTCAGGGATACAGGTGTCTGGCCCTGGAGAAGGATGATTCAGAATTGACCCAATATAGGCCTGGGCTGGATCCAGCCACCTGCTAGACCACCCTGCTGACTCTGGCCAAGGCAGTGGGCCCCCAGGGTCAAATGAAAATTGTGGGCTAAGAACTATAGGATCACATACAGGACTTGGTGTGCCTCCCACTTTCACATGCCAGCCCTCCCCACTGAGCTGGCACTTGAAGCCTGAGAGTTCAGGATGTGGATGCCCTCTCAAACCCATTCTGTGTCTACAAGAATCTTCAGAAGAGAAAAGTCCTCACTTCCTCCATCCTGTGAGAGGACAGGGGCTGGTTGTGCCAAGACTTACCCTGAGGAGGTAGACTGGAGACAGAGCAGGTATAGACTGAGTCCAGTTCCCCTGCCCCTGCTCATCCCCCTCCCTCAAGTAAGTGAAAATTCCTCTAAATGGCAGGTAGACTTTGAATCTTCAGAGCCTTGAATGACAGTCTAAGAAACAGGATGCAAATATGTGCAATTGGATCTCCATACCTCAGTTAAAAAATGGGGTTCATTCTTGGTATCCCCCAGAATCCTAATTAATAGCTCAGGAAAAACTTAGGGTAGACAGGAGGAGGCAGAGGACCTACACACAAATCTGAAGTCTTTAAAAAAATTTTAATAGCAGGGCATAGTAGCACATGCCTTTAATCCCAGCACTCGGGAGGCAGAGGCAGGCAGATCTCTGTGCAGTTGAGGCCAGCCTGGTTTTCATTATCGAATCTAGGCCAGCTGTGGCTACAGGGAGACCTTGTCTCAAAAGGACCAAAAAAAATTTTTTTAATGTATTTTTTATTTAAAATTTTATTTTTATTTTATGTGTATGAGTGTTTTGCCTACCATGTATGTAAGTACATGTCCTAGTTTATTTCTCCATTGCTGTGACAAAATACTTTAACCAATACCAACTTGGGGAGGAAAGGGTTTATTTTATCTTACATCTCCTGGGTTCATCAGGGAGCCCAAGGTAGGAACTCAGGGCAGGAACCTAGAGGCAGGAGCTGGAGCACAGACCATGGAGGGACTCTGCTTACTGGCTTGTTCCACTGGCCCATGCTCAGCTTGCTTTCTAATGCAACATAGGCCCACCTGCCCAGGGGTAGCACCACCCACAGTGGGCTGGGCCCTCCCACATCACTCAGCAATCAAGATGCCCCACAGACATGGCCACAGGCTCCCTCAACCCAAGTGTGTCAAATTGACACTAAAGCTATCCAGCACAGTACACCTGCACCATGGAAAGCCTGCAGAGACCAGAAGAGGGTGCAGAATTCCCTGGAACTAGAGTTAACAGATGGTTGTTAGCTGCCAGGTGGGTTTTGGGAATTGAACCCAGGTCCTCTGGAAGAGCAGATAATGCCTTTAACTGCTGAGGCATCTCTCTAGCCAGGACCTGAATTATTGAGAAGTCCCTCCTACCTGTCTATTCCCCATCCATGACACATTATCACCATCTAGCAACTCACTAGATCCTACCATCTACTCTAGGTTTCATAGCACCTTGGGGACTTCAGTAGACCATAGCATCCACCAGAGAGGTAGCCATGTAGCTCACAGGGAGGTGGGCATCCTTGGTATCCCAACCTTGTGAGACCAGGTACAAATGGTTCATGTAGCCAGCACATTCTCCATGAAATTTGTTACCCTGGACAGATTCAACTTATGCATTGTTAAAACACTTTCATGAATTTTTAGATCTGTTTAATGTAATCTTTCCACTTCTACTTACAGCTCTAAATCAGGAGGAAAGTTTATGCATCCTTGGCTCCACGATGATATGTCCTGAATCTAATGTATCCACATTCTCCAAGGGGACCCCACCCTTACCCCAGAAACATTCTATACTAAGATGTATCTGGCTCTTTGGAATATAGGGGCCAGAGACGCTGAAGATCTCTGCTAATAGAGCCCATACACATAAAAACCAGCTATCTTTAAACCCAGCTATCTGAGTGTGTCTGACCCCAGCTATTATGAGTTCTCAGGTGTTTGTTCTTTAATTGTAGTATTTTTTTCAAAATATTGAGGGATTCAAAAGTAGGTATGGTAGTATGTGCCTGTGGTCCCAGCTACTTGGGGTGCTGAGCTGGGAAGGTGCTCCAACATATGAACAAGAGTCAAACCTGGGAAACATACCAAGACCTTTTGTTTTAAAAAAGGGAGTGAGTGGGCTAGGGATAGGTAAATTGCTTGCCTTGCAAGCACAATGACCTGAATTCAATTCCTAGCACCCACATAAAGATGCCAAGTATGATGGTGTAATCTTGTAATCCCAATGCTAGGAAGACAGAGACATGAAGATCTGAGGTGCTCACTAGCCAGCCAGTCTAGCCTAATTAGTGAGCTCCAGGCCAAGAAGAGAGCCCCTCTCAAAGGAGATGGATGGTGGTCCTAAGGTTGTCTTCTGTATTCCACACACACAAACATACATGCAAGTGCACACATATGCACACACATATGTGCATTTAAACAGAGAGTTGGCAGAATGCTTACTAACATGCATGAAGCCCTGGGTTCAGTCCCTAGTACTGCATAAACTAGGCATGGTGGTGCACTCCTGTGATTCCAGCACTTGGGAGTTAGAGGGAGGAGAATCAGAAGTTCAAGGTTGTCTTCAACTATATAGTGAGTTTGAGGCCAGTTGGGACATGTGAGATCCTGTCTCAAAACAAAAAGCAAAACAAAACAAAACCCCACAAAACCAAGCAGGGGTAGGACTCAGACAAGATACTAGTCCTAATTCTGATAAGCTTGGACTCTTTCTCTAAATCTGACCAACTGGCCACATGGCACCATGAGACTGGGGCAAAACAGCCCCTTTTTTTTGGGGGGGGAACTAGAGCCTGAAGGATGGACCATGACAGTGATAAAGGTACAAATAGGAACTAGGACTCCAGCAAGAAATCTGCTGCCCTTCCCACTATGTGTAGCTCAGTCATAAATACCAGAAACTTCTCCCATAAATCTCCTTGGCCTGCAGGCCAGCCTTGTCCCAGGCTTCCTGGAAGGACCCCACATGCCTCCAGTGTTGGTTAATCAGTCTTAAAGAAGTCAGACTCCATTATAGCCAACTACATACCGATTACATTCCAAAAAGGAAAGCTCTATCCTGTAGTGTAGATAGAAAAACGTAAGAATTTCAGAGACCTTGGAAGTCAAAACAAAAACAAAATCCAATTAAAATCTTAGGATTGGATCAGCTAGAAAGCCTAGGGAGTTGGAAAGTGCAGGAGCTGAGGCTAAAAATCATAATTATGGCATTTGGATATGCATTTGAATATTGAACTGTGTATTTGAATATTGCTGCAAGTATTTGGCATACACCAGCTTATGGTTCCAAATCTACATATTCTTTTTCCAAGGCACCAATTAAGAGCTCTCTCTATGTCCTACACATCCAATGAATCACCAGGTTTTCCTCCTTACTCCTCATCCCCCTTCCTCTGCTGCCCTAGGAAACTCATGCCAGTGCTCAGCTGAGCTATAACTGTGCCCACCTGCCTAATTACCCACCTGCCACGTCACAAGCTCATGATGGGATGAAGGGTAGGGAAGGAAGCTAGCATTTTTTTTCAAGCCTTCTAAACCTTTAAGGAAATTTGCAGGGAATACACAGGAGGTGTCCTCTTCACACAGACAATACCCAGAGAGGAATCTGGGTAGTATGTCTGTCTGTCTGTCCCTCCAGCTCCCCAGGCTCCTTCATCCATCGGTGGCTGCAGTGATGTTCTCTGGCTTGGTGTTCAGGATAACTATCTCCAGCTTGTCTGAAGTCTTCTTCCTCAGCTGCTCAGTTCTCTTCTCTCATGTAGCCTTACATGTCCAGCTGTCTGGTCAGTAGTTTCCCAAAGCTGGAGTCATGGCCTTCGATGAATACATACTTGTCATGGAGGTGACTTACCACCTGTCTCTCCCTGTACAAGCACAGGAGGTACCACAGGCCCACCAGGGCCACCAGAGAGAGCCACATGGCTTACAGAGGACAGGCACAGACACTGAGTCAAAATGAGCCTGGCCTCTGTTCAGACATGAAGAAGTAGGAACACCGAGGATATGGTGGGCAGAGGAGCCTGAAGGCTTCTGGCATAGAGTTCTCTCTTTCCTCCCTGACTACAATCTTTCTGGAACTTTCTATTCTGGTTCCACTTCTCTGCTCTTTGAATTGTTTTTGCAATTTTGATATAGAAATGCCCTTGGGTATTTCCTGCTTGCTCCAAAGGAAAACATGACTAGTTATTCAGCAAAACCTCTCTAGACTATTGATTTCTCTCTACCCCTGTGTCCATTTGATAATGCACACGTTTCACAACACACGCCCCACTCTGGTCAAATTCCATGCTTAGATTGTATCTTAATGTCTCACATGCCAGCACCCATGACTGAGGGAATTTCTGAACACAGGTAGCTGTTATTAAGAACCCGGACTTGGAATAAAGACAATTTACAACCACCTGCACCTGGGGGAAGCATGGCTGTAATCTGAACCAGGAGTTCAGATTGAAGTTGAACCAGGAGGATCATGAGGTTGAGGTCAACCTGGGCAATTTAGCAAGACATTGCCTCAAAATAAAGTGTATTTTTTAAAAATCTAGTGATGTCCCCCTCCAAGGCTCAGGGACTTTTGTAGAAGAGGTTGGTGGAAAGAATGTAAGAGCTGGAGGAAGGGGTGGAGTGTTAACTGGAAGTGTCCTCTGACCACTATGCCAGCAAGCTATACGCTCATCAAGGAGTAGAGGAGGGAGTCAGTTACCCTTCCCACCCAATCAGTCAACCTTAGCTGCATGTGGGGGAGGCACTAAGGATATTTAAGCTGAGAATACCAGGAGGCACCTTTCTCATCATTTTCTGTGGCTGTCAGGAAGTCATAGGATCTATATTTGAGTGTGGACCTTCCAGTGCAGCTGTAAATGGTGGACACCCACACCTCTTTAAATAAATCCCCACTCTATGCTCTGTTTTAAAAAAAAAGAAAATGATAGGTGTTTGGATAGATAGATGAGAGGGATCTGACTAGAATGCAAGTGGATGGACATGCACTGGGGAACGTCTGGGAACACTGACTTGACATAGTGGGCCTTAACACCCAAGACAAGAATATATGGGTTCCGGGGGGTGGGGAGCTATGGGAGGGTTCTGGTAGGGATGGAGCTATAAAGATGATTCAGATTGTTTGAGATATTCTGTATGAAATGCAACTAAATTTAATACAAACGAAAAAAACTTAAAAAAACAGAGGAAGAAAGAAAATGGATGTGTCTCTAATGTGCACTACAAGATTGCTTCTTCTAATGGTATCTTTGGCCTGGGCTGTTGGACTTGAAGGAGGTACAGACTGACTGTATGAGGAATGTAAGTTTCAAGATCTCCGTTCATGCTTATTTAGGGTTAACTGAGGAGGCACCCCTACAGAGACCACGGACGTGGAAGGCTGCAGAGGCAGAGCCAAGGGTCTGGAGCTAGGAGGCAGCTAGTCCTGTTACTATAGGTTAAGTGGAGTAAGTCGAAGACATGAAGAAGGAGGAGGATGAGAAAGAGGAGGAGGAGGAGGGGAAGCAAGGAACCCGATGATGAGTGAGTGTACAGGGCAGAGCCCCTAGCGGCTTCTTTTTGCACTCTTCTGTGCCAGAATCTCAGTTAAACAGATGAATAGGGCCAGGCTGAGCACTGAAGGAGTCCAAAGCTCCCTGTGATCCAGAAATGGACTGGCGTGGCCCCTGACACTCACTCTGCTCCAGATCCTGTGTTAAGATCTTTCCTTTTCATTGGAACCTGTTGCATGCAGAATCCAGACAAAGCATGTCCTTCCGACATGAACCCAACAGGGGGAAAAAAAAACCCAGTGTGGAATGATGGCAGAACCCGTTTCAATGGCACCTTTTCCAAGAGTTCAAAGTCTAACCCTGAGAGAAAAAACTCACCAAATATATACCCAAACACTTGACTGTCACTCCTCAAAACCATCAAGGTTGTCAAAACAAGGAATGTTGGGGAAACTATCCCATACAAAAGGAGAGATAGTGACTAAATAAACAACAATGATACCAAAAGACATTGGCTAAAATTGAGGGAATTCACATGAATGGTGATTTCCAGTTAATGCCACTATTGCTTCATTCATTATGACATATGCATTGCAATATCATAGATGTTCACAACAGGGGGAACTGGGCTTGGGGTATTAGAAACCGCCATACTTTCTTGTTAATTTTCTATAAATCTGTTCTAAAGAAGAAGAAGGAAAAAAAGCTAGTAATATAGCTCAGTGGTAGAGTGCTTGCTGAGCATGTATGACACCCTGTGTTCAAACCCGAGTAACCCTCCCCATCAAAAAGGGACACATTTACAAAGAAATCTTCTATGAACCTAGGTTTTCTCATCAGGATCAGAATCTACTCAGAGAACTAAATCATTCTCTCTAGAACAATAGGAAAAGGCCAATGGAAAGGGCAGGAAGACTTGGGCGTCCAAGTAGCAGAGCAGCTCTGTACAAGGAGGGTGTGGGGGACTCCAAACAGGAAGTCCGACCTCAGGAGCAAAGAAAACAGGAAGGAAGAAGAATGGGAACTGGAGTGAAACTTCCAGAACTACTGGGAGGGAAGAATAGAAAGACTTTCAGCTTCAAGGCACTGTTTCCCTGCTGCATGGATTCAGGTGGGCAAAACTGCAGCCACTGTGAGCTGTGACCACTGTGAATGACTAGACTAACCCCAGCCAGCTTCTCCTACATAGATTCCCAGCAAGCTATAGGTAGACGAAATCATTACATGGAGTTTGGGGAACTGTTCCTTGGCTTCAGAGACGTGTTTGATACCAGTTTAAAATAAACAAGGTACCCTCCAGCAAGAATGAAGACACGTTTTTTCTTCTTTTTAAAAATTTATTCTTGGAGCTGGAGAGGTGGCTCAACAGTTACAAGCACTGGCTGCTCTTGCAGAGGACCTGGTTTTAGTTCCCAGCACCCACATGATGGCTAACAATCATCCATAACTTCATTTCCAGAGGATCTAATGCCCTCTTCTGGCCTCCATGGACACTGCATGACACAAGTACACTTTTATAGAGGCTTTATAACACTCATACACATAAAAGTAAATAAATAAAAACATTTAATTTATTTACTCTTTCAGAATTTCATTCATGTATACATTGATCACATGCCTCCCCTGTATCTTGTGTTATCCCCTTCCTTCTCCCACTGTCCTAGTTTCTTCTTCATTGCTGTGACAAAATACTCTGACCAATACCAACTTGGGGAGGAAAGGGTTTATTCAGCTTACATCTCCCAGGTCACAGTTCATCAGGGAGCCCAAGGTAGGAACTCAGGGCAGGAACCTAGAAGCAGGAGCTGGAGCACAGGCCATGAAGGAACGCTGTTTACTGGCTTGCTCCCCTGGCCCCTGCTCAGCCTGCTTTCTTATGCAACACAGGCCCACCTGCCCAGCAGTGGCACCACCCACAGTGGGCTGGGCCCTCCCACATCACTCATCAAGAAGATACCCTTCAGACTTGGCCACAGGCCAGTCCAACAGAGGCAATTCCCCAACTGAAACTCCCTCAACCCAGGTGTGTCAAGTAGACACTAAAGCTCTCCAGCACACCCGCTAAACCCTTCTTTCAAAAAAGTCTCCTTCCTTCTTTCTGGGGTATATGTTTCTCTCTCTCTCTCTCTCTCTCTCTCTCTCTCTCTCCTCTCTCTCTCTTTCTGTAAGCAAACATTAACTACCCATAGCTCCTCAGAGAGGGATGGAGGCTTCTGCACCCTCTCCCCTTGGCTGATGAGCTAATGAAGTCACTTTGTCCTTGTGGGAATGACTTTTCTGGACAAATGGCATCTTACCTAATTTTGTAACTGAAGTTAATCTTATGGTTTGTGATCATTTAATATTATCTCAGCTTGTTTATAATGTAGACTGAGCATATAGCCTTGTCCCTGCCCCAGAGTAGTGTGTGTGTACATGTATGTGTGTTGTGAAAATCAAGCACTGAAAGCAGTAGCTATTTATTGGGAGCAACTAATTGTCCCATTTCAGTTGTAATGTAATCCATCATGGGATTAGATTGATAACTCCTGTTTGTGTTCGTGTCGCTGTTCTGCTTCAGTCAGGGTTAGATGGGGATATCCTGTGATAAGGTGGGCTCCTTTTTCCTTCCCATATCATGTTGGATGTACTGTTTCAATAAAGAGAAAGTAAGGCCTTTGAGAGAGCAGTTCAGAGAAACCAGAAGGACCAAGTTCTCAGAACAAATCAGTCTCGCTCCTGGTTATCAATGCCAAGGGATCAAGGGCACGAAATTCTCAGCAGCCAATGGGACCTACCAATTCTCATCCTTGCACATGTCCAGCTAAGGGAAGACCTAAGATCTCTTGAACAGGAACAAATTGCAGATTTCATTTCCTCAGTGACCTATGTCCCTTCAACTCCGAGTTCCCTAGGGCCACCCACACAGTCTCATTTCCCACTCCTCATAGCTACTGCCCCTTCTTACTCATCCTGACAGCAATACAAACTCTTGATGAGGAAGAGGAAGAGAAAGAGAAGGAAGTTAGAGACATAGCTGAGTTGGTGAACTATTTTCCACCCAAACATAAATACCTGAGTTCAATCTCCAGAATCCACATAGAAAAGTGTAGAGATTGGTACTTCTAATCCCTGTGCTGTGGAGGTGAAGACAGACAGATCCCTGGCACTTGATAGCCAAGCAGCCTGCCCGACCAGTAGAGTGAGTGATGCCATCTGAAAAAACAAAGTCAGTGGTACCAGAGGAATGACAGCAGAAGTTATCCTCCAGCGTCTATATGCATGTGCAACATGTGTAAAGTCACCCCCACAAAACATGCACCAGCACATACAAAAAACACACATGTATATACACAAAAAATAGAAAGAAAAGAAAAAAACTAACAAATAACAATAAACTAAGGTGGAGATAGTGATGTACGCCAGTAATTCCAGCCATCGAGGGCTGAAGACAAAGGAGCTTCACTTAAGCTCAGCCTGGGCTATGTACCCAGATCCTGTCTCAAAAATAAAATGAAATAAAATAAATTAAACATTAAAAAAATGAAATGGATGATCCACAACATTGGACATCAGCTTCTGTTTTCCCCTGGGACAGGAGTCATTGTTCAGTTATACCAAGTTAAAGAAAATTAAGACGCCTGGGGAAGTTCCTCAAAATGACAATTTAACTGAGCCCAGGAATCTCTGCCACTTTTTGCAAATGCTTTCTCTGCTCAGTCCACACTTGCGAAGATCATCACAAATTTCACAACATACAGAGCCAAGTCTCAGGAAGCCAGGGCAAGGTCAAGGGCACCCCTGGAACAAATGTGCAACAAATGTTGAACAAAAGATTAAAGATCAGTGCCCAGAAATGACACTGGTTCCATGCATCCAAAGAGGTGTGGGAACAAAGCTGGGAACAGGAGGAATGGCAAAGGACATAATCACAATGACTATGAGGCATGGTCAGTTAGTGAATTTTCAGGGAAGGGGCTAGTGAGAGGAGGAGGGCTTCAGTTCCCCAGGAACAGGGCCTGGGATCTGCCAGTCCAGTTTGGACACATTCTTGCATGCCCATTCTTCTGCCTTAGCCTGTGAGCTAGGTTACTTGGACATCTTGAAAGGAAGCAGTTACTTTTAGACTCAGTGGTAGGGAAACAGCTGAGAGAAGGCAGGTGATCCAGGTGACCTGTACTAACCCTCCTCAGGTGATTACCCCCTGTTCCCTGACTCTTCCTCCCAGTGGTCCTCACCTCACTGTTCTTCCACACCATAGTTCAAAACACGGGACACAGGTAATCATTGCAACTTTTATTTTAAAATGAAAGGAATCCAAGGGAAGTCATGGTTTCAAGACAAGTGAAAGATTAGTTTCTTTGTTCTCTTCCAGATTCCATACCAAGGATGTCATTTCCCGACCAAGTCCTGTTGATGTAGCATTCAAACACTAGGGCAAAACTTGCTGGCAGTGGCCCCCCACCTGAGAACATCAACAAAGGTGATTGTGAAGGGCATCATTTTGGGGCATGGCCTGAGGAGGAGGGCACTAGGCAGAGCATCTCAAATTTGTTCCCAACCTTCCCAGTTGTGTATATTCTCATGGTGGGCCATGATGCTTAGAGCCTTGGCACATACCTAAGCCAACAGATTACTGGCTAGCTGTTTTGTATCCCAATCACTTAGCAAAATTCTTTTGCTTTCCTTTTGAATCACTGATCTTGAGTAGTATGACAGCAGAATTATTTTGAATGAATAAGGTGGACTATGTCCCCTAGTATCATGAGACCCCTCTACCCACCCTACTTCCTTGCACCTGGTGAGTCCTCTCTGCCACACTGGACCCATATTTACTGTGCGGGATAGCTTTAGTGTCAACTTGACTCACCTGGGTTGAGGGACCCTCAGTTGGGGAATTGCCTCTATTGGACTGGCCTGTGGCCATGTCTGAGGGGCATCTTCTTGATGAGTGATGTTGGAGGGCCCAGCCCACTGTGGGTGGTGCCACCCCTGGGCAGGTGGGCCTGTGTTGCATAAGAAAGCAAGCCAGTAAGCAGTGTTCCTCGATGGCCTGTGCTCCTGCTTCCAGGTTCCTGCCCTGAGTTCCTATCTTGGGCTCCCTAATGAACTGTGACCCGAGAGATGTAAGCTGAATAAAGCCTTTCCTCCCCAAGTTTGTAGTGGTCAGAGTGTTTTGTCACAGCAATGGAGAAACAAACTAGGACACTTACTCAGAGATACACACAAGTGTTGACATCACAGGACTTTTGTGGGATTTACTGAGCCCCAAGAGACTATGGCATCTGCCAGAAAGGTGGGCATGTAGCTCATGGGGAGGTAGAAAAACTTGGCATCCCAGCCAGGTGAGTACTGGGTACGGGGATGACAGGAAGTCAAAGCATGCTCCATGCAGTCCGTCACCAAAGAAAGGTCTTCTGAGCACGTTTTCATTAATGATTCTAAAGTTTTTAGGTCTGTACAGAATGAGAAATAATTCAGGTAGACATAAAACCCCTACCACTCCTGTTCTGGGATCAAGGTAGAGAAAAGGTTCTCTAAAAATCCACGTTTCCCACACTTAGAAGCCATGCTTGAGACCTAACATCCCAGTTCCTTAGATAGTGCCACAATTCAGCTTCAAAGAACTGTTTACACTCAGCCAGCTTTATTCCTGGTCAAAGAAATATCTGGGCTGGGTGGCTGAAAGGTCTCTTCCAAGCCTGGAAGTCAATCAAAGCCAATGCAAAGTGGCCATCCTTGTGCTGCATCCCTTCTTTGGATGCACTTTCAGCCTTATGATAATGAGGCATTTAGAGCAAACAGTACCCCATGTTCTAGAAGCCAGGCCCCCAAGGTAACAGGGCCAAACATCCCTATAATGAGAAAAAAAGAAAAAACAGCCTAGAATAGCCCTGTACTACTGAACAAATAATAGAGAAAGGATTTAGGGTGAGGGTTCACTTTGGTTCCCTCAGATCACTCACAGGATTCCAGAAACTTCTTGCCATATATCTCCTTGACCTCCAACCTGGTCTTGTCCCACACCTTCTTTACGTTCATTGATATTGTCTCAATATTGGCTAAACTGGTCTTGAAGCCTCCAGGTTCTATTATAGCCACTTTCACTCCAAAATAGGAGAGCTCCCTCCTGAAAGACAGACAGGTAGAGATCAAGAATTTCAGAGGTATTTTGAGGAAAAAATTGTGGTGGTTAGAATGAGGTGTCCCCATTAAGCTCAAGTATTTGAATACTTTGGCAGTTGGTGATGCTGTTTTGGGACAGTCATGGAATCGTTCCTCAAGGAAGCATGTCACGGGGGTGGGCTTTGAGAGCAGGTAGCCTCATCCCACTTCCACTCTGTCTTTTTCTGCTTCCTGTATGTGTTTGAAGAGGTGAGTGCTCAGCTTTCTGTTTTTGCTCTTTCTGCCACCAACCCTCCCTGCCATGATGGATTCTTATCCCTCTGGAACCGTAAACCCAATAAACTCTTCCTTCTATAAGTTGCTTTGGTCTTTGTATTTTATCACAGCAATAGATAGTAGCGAACAAAGAAGTTGGTACCAGAGAGTGGGCTGTTGCTGTGAACCTGACCATGTTGTTTTTTGGAGGAATGTGGAAGAGTTTGGATGTTTGGACTAGCATGATGTTATGAATGTTTAATGGGCTGTTCTGTTAGGAGTCTGGAGGAAAGTAGTGCTGAGAGCAATGTAGTTCTAGAGGGGGATAGAAACAAGGACATAATACAGCAACTGGTATATTTTGGCAAATCATCTTGCTGCCACCTGCCTGCAGTCTAATAAATTGCCTGACAGATGAAATTTCAAGACAGCCTAATGTGGAATATGCAGCATGGTAATGAGAAAGAGAAAATGAGGCAGAAAGAAGTCTGGAGAGAAAGAAATTACTATGAAACATTGTGACAGCCAAGGCTCATCCTGGAAGAGTATCTCCTTGTTAAGGAGATTAGCAGCACCATTAAAGAAAGGCCTCTTTATTTTCACTTAAACAATGGAAAGAATGCCCTCAGGGCAAGACCCCCATCCATCTAAATGTCCAACTTGTGAAGGGAAAAGGCCTAAAAAGTTTTCTGCTCCTAGAAAATCACAACACACAAAAGCAGCTCCAAATGGAATCTAAGGGGACCAAGATCCATCCCAAGCTGCAGTCAAATGGAGCAGTGTTGCCCATGTGATTCTGGCCTTAGAGGCATGAAAGATGCAAGAGTGGGGGGATCAAGGGGTCTTCCTTTGTGGTTTCAAAGAGCCACTGAGATAAGGCAGCATATTGCTGGGCAGACCCTGTGACAGAAGGCCCTAATAGGTCATGAGACCCTGAGAAGCCATTGCATAAAGCTGTGAAGGTCAAGCCTGTTTGGGGTGGATACCTCAAGTTGTTGGAGATGCCAGAGCTGTAAGACATCGCCCATTGAGAGTTGTATGCAGGGAATGGTACCAGTCCAAGAGAGTGATGAATGTTGCAGGCAGCAAAGCTGGAGGGGTGGAGCCATCTAAACACTTGGAATTAAGGTCCCAGATAACAGACATGGAGCTACAGGAATTTATATTTTCACTGCTGAGCTCAAGTCTTGTGTTCATCGTGTTTCCAAACTATGCCCCCATTCCTCCTTTTTAGAATGGGAATGTGTACTCTGTGCCATTTTATGTTGAAAGTATGTGATTTCATTTTGCAGGAGGTTATAGTTAAAGAGAGTGCCTTGAGTCACAGAAGAGACATTGGACTCTAGACTTTGGAAAAGTCTTGAACTGTGAAAGATTACGAGGTATTTTAAAGTTGGACTAAATGCATTTTGCATTATGAAATGATCATGGGTCTATGGGAGCCAGGGAATGGAATGTGGTGGTTTCAATAGCCTATCCCCCATAGGCTCAAGTGCTTGAACACTTAGTCCACTGTTTACGGAAGGTCATGGAATTCCTGCAAGGTGAGCTTTGCTGAAGTAGGCATGGCCCTGAGGATAGGCTTTGAGAGTTCATAGCCTTGTACCACTTCCAGCATGTCTCTCTCTGCTTCCTGTGCAGAAAGCTCTGACCACCTGCCATGATGGACTCTTCTCTCTGGAGCTGGGAGCCCAATGAGCTATGGTCATGGTGTTTTAGCACAGCAATAGAACATAACTAATAAAACAATCCAATAATAAATACAGAAATATGCCAACATAAAGTTGGAGTCAGGAAAGTTTGAAAGTTTTGGATCTGTGATATGCAGCAGATGGAGATGAAATATGCTTGTCTAAGGACATCAGGTTCCCCATAAACGTACCTGTGCCAACCTGCCCAGCCTTCATATTGCCCGTTTCTTCACTCCCTTAGCCCCTGGAGGACCTAGCACTATTGTGTTCTGCTAAAGTTCACACTGAGCAGGGGCCAGGCTGGTATCATTTTCTTATCCAGGAAGCACTCATAACCAGGCTGCCATGTTCCCATGTTCAACCCTCACCTCAGACCCCTGCTACAAGATGCTTCACAAAGCTTGTGACTACCATAGCCACCACTGCTAATAATGTCTCAGTATTTGTCACAGTCTCTCTCCCTGTCTCACTCCTTGTCTCCCCCACCCACCCCATTTAGAAAGGTCAAGGATCTGTACAATTAAGCCAAATTAACCCAAGTTCAATACGACCTCAGAAACTTTCTCACTGTGTACCATCATTCAGAGCAGGATAAATAAAACTGAACTGAGGCCTAGGTCCTTCCCTCCCAGAGACATGGTGGTTCCCAATAAATTACAACCTAACTCCTGAGAGGGGAAGATGAGACCCCTCAAAAACCCAGAGAGAGAGAGAGAGAGAGAGTCAGTCTTCATGACAGGATATCTAAAGTTACAGATAAATAAAAACCCTGGCAAAGGTTCCCTCAGGAGCCCCATTCCTGGTCAATACCTGAGGGAGTCTGAGAAGGCCTCTACAGCATACTTGGAGATGCAGTAACCGCCACTAAGGAGGCACACCCGGCCCATCACACTAGAGACATTGATCACACGGCCCTTTGCCTTCCTCACTAAGGGCAGCATGCCCAGCGTCACCTCGATCATCCCCGTCAGGTTCACATTGAGTACTTTTGTGAAATCCTTTTTGTCCAGCCACTCATTGGGGGCGATGGGGATGAAGATGCCAGCATTATTCACCAGGCCCCAGAGTCCTGGTGACAACAGAAGGAAGAGAGAGTCACACAACACAGGTACAGTTATGGGCAAAATTCACATTTCACCAGATGAGACTGTTCAGACAGGCATTGGATGTGGAGTAGGGCACAACAAACAACATAGTATCATCAGGCTGGGGTGCGTATCCCAGAAGCTGCTGTCTGACAGCATGGACACTGTGCTGGATAGCTTTAGTGTCAACTTGACACACCTGGGTTGAGGGAGCCTCAATCGGGAAATTGCCTCTATTGGACTGGCCTGTGGCCATGTCTGAAGGGCATCTTCTTGATGAGTGATGTGGGAGGGCCCAGCCCACTGTGGGTGGTGCCACCCCTGGGCAGGTGGGCCTGTGTTGCATAAGAAAGCAGGCTGAGCAGGGGCCAGGGGAGCAAGCCTGTAAGCAGCGTTCCTCCACGGTCTGTGCTCCAGCTCCTGCCTCCAGGTTCCTGCCCTGAGTTCCTACCTTGGGCTCCCTGATGAACTGCGACCTGGGAGATGTAAGACAAATAAACCCTTTCCTCCCCAAGTTGGTACTGGTCAGAGTGTTTTGTCACAGCAATGAAGAAACAAACCAGGACAGACACCTTCCTCCCTTGACTCTTCATGACCCAGCTCATGGCCTGGGGTGGACCAAGCAACATTTCACATTCGCTAATCACAGGAACAGACCTGGAAGACATGTTGTGTCTCCACTAACTGGACACATGGAAACCATGTCTCTGTTTCAGAGATGAATGTCATCCTTGAAGATATTTTATTCTTGTAGTACAGTTTCAGATTTCTTTGAGCAGTTCACAAATGCTTCTGTCTCTCAAATGGCAAAGAAAGTCAGAAGAGAGGAAAGGCCAAACAAACAAACGAACAAAAAACATGTATTGAGCAACTTTCCTGAAGCAATTGCAAAACAGGAGAGCAGCCTGAAGGAAGAGGCAGTGCTTCCTGCCAACCATAGTACAAGAGCTCCAGCCTCTGCCCCCGAAAATGGCGCCCTATCTTCCCACTTACCTCAGGTCACAATCACTCCTCCCTTTTATTCCCTGGGTCATGGATCTGCAGATAACCAATCTACAAGACCTACCATCAGGTGTACAACCAAACAGCACACCTATCCTGCAAACCTGCATAAAGGCTGAGCTGGGGACTGTTGATTTAAGTTGTTGATCTGGAAGAACTGGCCCAACAAACCATGTCCCTCCTCAGCTCAAACCCTGACTTGGCCTTGTAGAGATGAGTACTGTTATCCAAGATATTTTATCTCTAGAATGCCCACGTATACATGGTTACTGACATTGAGGTAAATAGAAGTTTACCACGACAGTGTTTCTGACAGCAAATGAACCAAACAAGCTAGGCATGGTGGCACATGACCACTGTCCAAGTTGAAAGGAGGCTGAGGCAGGAGGATCATCAGATCCAGCCAGCACCATAGTAAGACCCTGTCACAGAAAACAAAGGCACGCCAAGCATTCCAGTATCCTATCTTAAGATATATTTGAATTGTTAGGGGTTTCTTAAAGATTAGACTATCCTAAACTATTGATAATTAGTATTTTTTTAAATGTTCTTGAGGTGAGCCAGGCATGGTGGCACACGCCTTTAATCCCACAACTCCGGAGGCAGATGCAGGCAGACGTCTGTGAGTGGAAGGCTAGCCTGGTCTACAGAGTGAGTTCCAAGACAGCTGGGGCTACAGGGAGACCCTGTCTCAAAATAAATAAATAAATAAATAAATAAATAAAATGTTCTTGAGGTGGTGGAATTGTTCCTCTCTGTTGCTGCTTTCTTCACAATAGCTAAGAAATGGAAACAACCTAAATGTCCCTCAATGAAAATGTGGTACATCTACTCAGTGGAGTTCTACTCAGCAGTAAGAAACGATGAAATTATGAAATTTGCAGGTAAATGGATGGAGCTAGAGAGTGTTATGCTAAGTGAAGTAACACAAACACAGAAAAGCGAGCCACATATGCTCTCCCTCATTTGTGGATTGTAGCACCAATCCCTTATATGTGAGTATATAAATTCTGATGTAACACCAGGAGCCAAGAAAAGGGAAAGGATACATGGAGGTAAAGGACAAGAAACAACCTGAAAAGGGATAGTAGGGAACAGATATTACCTGAGGAAGGTGGTAAAAGTGGGAGTAATTGGCAGGGAGGAGAGGAGGGAGGGACATTCAAGGGACCATGGTGTGGGGGAGGGAGGAAAGTCAGGAGAAGACAGATGGTAGGAGTCGGAGGTATTGGGGGGAGGGTGAGGATAATGGGAGTACTGTGACTTGGGAGGGAGGGAGGAGAGAAGCCAGATGGGAGAAAAGAGCAGAGATGAGTGAATCTCGAGAGGCAGGAAACGTAGAGGAAAAGTGATGCCCTAGAAACCCTATGAGAAATGTGCATAGTGTCTGAACATTAATGCATATGTATACCTGGGAGCTGCTTGGCAGGGAATGCAGTGCCGGATAGAAGAGACCTCCCTTAGAGTGACAAGCATGCCGTACAGCACTCATCAAAGAAGATTCTTTTTGCAACAGATGGACTACTGCAGAGTTGCACATCTGGACAGGCACAGAGAACATATGCCTGGGAGAGGGCCAGTACCAGGTGACACATCTGCAGTCGAATCTCTACAAATAAGGCTCGTGAAGCATAGTGGAATAAGAGGTAGGGAGGGCTAATGTACCCTTCATTTCTCACCAATGAGGCTTCCATGTACATCAGAATGTGATGCACACAGAAGGCCCCAACTGGCCACGTTTTGGAGAATAAGGGAATAAGAGTGTCAGATGGGACTCCTATATGGAGCCTCGCCCACCCACAGCTCAGGGACCATTGCGGAAGAGGAGGTGCAAAGATTGTAAAAGCTAGGGCTGATCCATGAACACAGGGAGGTGGAAGCTTCCAGGCCACTGGAGGCTTGCTCATGTGAGCCTGTGGCAGTGATGGCATCAAGCGCATGACCCATGTCGGCTCAATTAAACAAGGGCCCAAAGGGGTGGTAAGAATGATAGGTGGTGGTGCAACACTAGATTGAGAACTACTTGAGACTGATTGCTGTGGAGTGAGGGAGAGTATGACGTAAATACGATCACTGGATGGGCTGACAAGATGCCAGTGGACACATTTACACTGAAGGACATTTGGGTACAAACACCTGAATGAATAGGACTCAGCATGTATGGCAGAGTGCATAGCGCCCGGTGGGGGGATAAAGAGAGGCATGGATGGGAGAGGGGGTCTGGATTTGACTAGGAAATGTATGAAATTTTAAAAGTTCAATAAAAATATAGAAAAAATTTACAATAAAAAGATGAAAAAACAATAAGTAAAATGTTCTGGAGGTGGTCAAATTGTTCATCTTTGTCAAGTGAAAAGAATTCACATTTTAAAATCTCACATAGATCAAAACATTAATAGGCTTTTTTTTTTCATTTACCAAAACTCAGGTTGCGTCTTCTCCCTCTACTCTCCCGAAAGGTAGAAGAATGACTGTCAATGGCAAAAGGCAGTTGCAGCGAAGCAACACCAAAAGCCAGCTTCATACTCAGGAGAGACTGCCACGTTTCCTCCTCATGGTTTCTGATACTCTACAGAGTCCGAGAAACTTCTCTAGTAATGAGCTACAGAAATGATCCCTGAAAGTATAATCTTAACATTAATAGTTTTTATGTTAGAGGGGTCATAATATAGGTTAATTTTGTAGTGTTTCTATGTATTCTATTTTTTGAACAACAATCATTTTGTCTGTGTATTTGCAGATTTCTTTGGCTAAATCAGTCTTCTTTCTTGTCCCCATAATAAAGCACTAGGGTAGCAACAGAAAAGGAACTACTTCCGAGTTCTTTACTTTCCCCAGTGAATCCATAGCTTGTCATGCTCTGCTCTGAACGTGGGGATGTTGTCACTCTTAGCAGAAGATGACAGGTGGCAAATAAGAGCAAGCCCAGCGCTGAGACAGGAGATCCACTCCAGCATGGCCCAGACACTCTGCCCACATAGCCCAGGAACCCAGTGCCCTCCTGTGCTCCACAAAGTGCCCTGTCTCAAATATGACACTCAGCACCCAGAAATCCAGACGTTCCACATTAAAAAAAATAAGATAGAGGGGAGCGAAATGCCAAGGCAAATCCTTACCTGGGACCTAGTCTACCAGTCCTAGAGAACTTCAAGGACAGGAGGGAGGGGTTAGACACGGTGCTCAGGGGGTATGCCAGGGAGGGGTAGCATGCTGGTCTTATTTCAAGCCCCCAAATCTCTCAAGGAGTCTTACCAGATCTACACAGGAGGGATTCCCATTACACAGTGGGACAAAACCAACAGACACAGACAGAAGTCTGGGTGTTACCTTCGTTCCCAACACATTCCTTCACCCACTGGGTGGCTGCAGCAATGCTCTCTGTCTTGGTGACATCAAGGATCACAGTCTCCAGCCTGTCTGACGTCTTCTTCCTCAGCTGCTCAGCCCCCTCCTCAGTCAGACATGCAGCCAGCACCCTCATGCCCCTCATGTCCAGCTGCCTGGCCAGCAGGTTCCCAAAGCCTGAGTCGCAGCCCGTGATGAAGACATACTTGTCATGGAGGTGGCTCACCACCTGCCTCTCTCTGTACAAGCGCAGGAGGTACCACAGGCCCACCAGGGACAGCAGGTAGAGCCACATGGCTTGCAGAAGACACACACAGATGCTCTGTGTCTAAGTGAGCCTTGCCTCTGTTCAGACAAAAAGAAACACAAAGGATGTAGTTGACTATGTAACCTTCAGCCTTCTATCCTGGAGTCTTCACTTTCCTCTCTGACCACTGTCTTTCTGGAACCTTTTTCGATGTCCTACCCTTAACTCTTTGAACTGATTTTGGCGTTCTTATATATAAATTCCTACTTTGATGCCAAGAAAATACCTCCCATATCTATTGATTTCTTCCTTGTCCAGTGGCCATGTGGGAATTCACACATGTTTTGTAACACATGCCCCTGAGGTCAAATTACTGGTTCAGATTCTGTCTTTCTTATGTGACTTGATACCCAAGAGCCCCAAAGAAAACAGGACTAAGCATATCCACTATGAGAAAAAAATAACCTTTCACAGCTCTTGTGCTGCAGGCAGAATAAATAAAAGAGTAAGGATTTAGGGTGAGGTCTTCATTAGGGCCCTGTAGCTCACTCACAGGGTTCCAGAAACTTCCCTCCATAGATCTCCTTGATCTCCAAGCTGGTCTTGTCACAGTTTCTTTGTGCTGAGTGATACTATCTCAATATTGGATATACTGGTCTGGAAGCCTCCAGGTTCTATTATAGCCACTTTCGCTCCAAAATAGAAGAGTTCTGTCCGCAAGACAAACAGGCAGAGATCAAGGATTTCAGACATCTTTTGAGGAACAACATATAGTATGACTACAGTAACATAGCAACATAAGATGGGGTGAGGGGCCTGGAGAGACAGCTCAGCAGTTAAAAGCACTGACTGCTCTTGCAGAGGACCTGGGTTTGGTTCCCAGGACCCACATGGCAGTTAAAAACAGTTTATAACTCTGGTTCCAGAGTATCCAAAGCCCTCTTTTGGCCTCTATGGGGCACTGTATACATGTGGTACACTTACATATATAAATTATATAATAAAAAAATTGGAGTGTGAAAAGTTCAAAACTTTTGGATCTGTGCTTTGGGGATGAAACCTGTAATGGGGATGTTACTTCTGTGCTGCTGAATATAACTCCATGTATTTGGCATACACAACTCATGGTCTGAACGTAGATAATCTGTTCTGTGGTTCCATATAGTGCATGTTGAGGTATCAGCAGGCTTTGCTCAAGTCAGCTTCATGTTCCTGGGCCCCACCTTCCCTCATGCCTGTCTCAGGGAATCTCAGGCCAGCTCCTACCTGGCCCCTTCAGATGTCTCAGGGAGCAGATTGTATGCATGTAATCTCAGTACCCCACATTTGGAGACCCCTGTGCCCTGCAGCCAGCACGGTATCTGCCAAGTGATTCAACAACTTCAGATGGTTGATCTACTAAGAGCGTGATTATATGCCTTTCTCAGGCCCTCAGGCTATAAACAAGACTACCTGTACCAACCTTGGCTGACTCCATATAGTCTGTGCTGGCCTGCCCTTACCCCAGGAGAGCCCAGCACTATGTTACTCTGTCAATGTTCACACTAGGCCTTGGACAAGCTGGTAATGCTTTCTCGCTCACAAAGCCCTCTTAACTGGACTGCCAGGTTACCATGTTCAACCCTCACCTCAGACCCCTGCTACACAACCCTCTGCAAATCTGGTGACTCCTTTGCTAATAGCTTCTTCAGTATTGGTCACAGCCTCCCTCCCCCCGATTTTCTCAGGTGGCCTTGGACAGGCTGGTAATGCTTTCTCACTCACAAAGCCCTCTTAACTGGACTGCCAGGTTACCATGTTCAACCCTCACCTCAGACCCCTGCTACACAACCCTCTGCAAATCTGGTGACTCTTTTGCTAATAGCTTCTTCAGTATTGGTCACAGCCCCCCTCCCCCCGATTTTCTCAGGTGCAGAGTTTTTAGATCAGTCAATAAAACCTTATTATCATGTTTGAATGTGTTGAGAACTCTATCCTGAGCCTGATAAGTGTCTGCTGAATGAGTAACATGCTCAGCCCACCTCAAGAATATCCTGAGACTGGAATTTCAGGGATGGCTTAGTTGTTAAGAGCACTGACTGCTCTTGCACTGGAGTTGTCCCCATGGCCCCTTGCCTTCCTCCTTCAGGCCAGCATGCTCAGAGTCACCTCGATCATCCCCCACAGGGTCGCATCGAGTACTTTCCTAAAGTTCTGTTTGCTCAGCCCCTCACTGGGAGCTGTGGGGAAGGAGATGGCAGCTTTATTCACCAGGCCCCAGAGTCCTGGAGACAATGGCAAGAAGAGAGAGTTACACGGTAGAATTATGGCCAAAACTCACATTCCATCAGATGAAACTTTTCAGATGAACATTGGAAGGTATAACAAATCAGAACATGGTATCTACAAAGGTGAGGGTACCCATCCCAGAAAGTGTGGCTGATAGCCTCTGTGACTTCCTTCCTTTACTTGTTTGATCCAGCATACTAACCGGGATAAAACAGGCAGTCAATTTACATCTGCTGATCACAGGAATAGATGCTGAAGACATGTCGTTCCCCCCCCACTATTCTGGACACATGGAAACTATGTTTGAACTTCACAAATTAATGCCACCCTTGCACGGATTTTATTCTTTCGGTACATTTTCAGATTTCTTTGAGCAGTTTATACAGTGCTGTCTTCTGTCTCTCAGACAACAAAGAAAACCAGGAGAAGGAATGGGAGAAATAAGAAATGAGTGAGCAAAGGAAAAAAGGAAGAGAAGACAATGATAATATCCTAATAGAATTTGGTTAAGAAACAGAGATCCGGAGCTGGAGAGATGGCTCAGCGGTTAACAGCACTGGCTGCTCTTACAGAGGACCTGGGTCCAATTCCCTGCATCCACATGGAGCCTAACAATGGCCTGAACTCCAGTTCCAGGGGCTCTGATGCCCTCTTCTGACATCCTTGGGCATTGCATGACACGGGTGCACTTACATGCATGCAGGC